AAGGAGCCAGGGTGAGACAAAGTAAGACGAGGAACTAGCACTGAGGGACTGCAGAGGGAGTGTATTTATGGCTGACTGAACAAAGGCAGGACTAATGAGCTGATAAGGAGCATGTGTGACTAGAGCTGATGAGGAAGCCAAGGGAAAAGGAAACACAAGGGGGCAACAGAGGACAAGGAAAGAAAACCTAAGAAACTTAAATAAATCCAGAACACACCAACAAAGCCAGAGAACAAAGAAAACATGGATAAACGTGAAACTGAAAACTTAGAGAAAACCAACAGAACCAAGATCGTTAACACAGTTTCGATTTTTTTGTGAAATACAATTTTTTTTGAGTGGCCGTTCACATTTCCAAATATATGCGACTTGTATATAATCTCCTGTGAAATCTGCATTCATACAACTTAAGTGTCCCCCATGAGCAGTAGAGGACGCAATGACATCACAAGCACGTTTGCTCTGTGTTTATGGAAGTCAGACATGGTCAATGTGGAGTCAACAAGTCATCTCCATGTCATGTATTTAATCTACCCAGCCAATTAACCAGGTGAGTCCAATCTGCACAGGTTAATTCACGATGAAGATTGGACTCACCTGCTTCAGTGGCTGTCAAATACATGACATGTAGATGACTTGTTGACTCCACATTGCCCATGTCTAATGGAAGTAAACATAAAAAATAGTGCTGGAGCGAATCTAGCATCATATCCCAACCTTAACAACACAATCTTTTCAAGAAGGTTAAAAATAAACATTGCTCTCCGGATCATCACCCGCAATGGTGGTTGTTTTTCTTGCCGCCTCTGCGTATCAAGAAGCAGAATAGTGACCTTTGTTGAGTATTAATGGCCTACAGGTTGGATGAATGCGACCTTGCCATTCAGACACAGGTCACATTTGAAAAAACTGTAAGTATCGGATTCAGGACCACATAGCCAAGTGGCCTGGGTCGCATCGTAATAAATCGGATCTGTGTTGGTCAGACTGTCATGAAAAGATCAGAAACAGGTCAAATATGGGCAAAAAATGGGATTTGGGTGACTCAGGCTTCTGTGTAAACGTAGCCTTAGACTTCATGAATTAAGATATTTCCAGGGCTAAATATTGGGATTTATTTCATAATATCCCTTTCACCTGTGGGTTTTGTGTTATTACTTTTTTTTTTATGCAAAAAAAATATAACTGGTAACTTATATAACTTAGGTATAGAAGCATTT